CCACCGAGCCCCCCGGCGACGCCTGCCGGGAGCCGCCGGCCCCGCCGCCCAACATCAACCAACTGCCGCCCTCCATCCTCCTCAAGGTGTGTGCCAGGGCCTGCGGCCGCGCCGGCCAGGGGGTATTCTGCGCGCAGGAGCTGTTGGGGGCTTGGTGCCTGCCCCTCTGGCTGCCAGCCCCCCTAGCCCTCTGGCTGCCAGCCCCTCAGGCCTGGTGGCCAAGTTAGGTTTTGGGGCCCAAGCGCCCAGCCTGCTAGAGTGCCAGCACCCGCTGGGATGTCCTGCCGAATTGTTGGGTGAGGGCAGCTCGTGCCCCCATGGGGTATGTTGGGCTGTATGGAAATGGCCGGCCACCTGCCTTTGCCATCTCTCTTCTGTCTGGTCTTATCTTCCCCTCCCCTTGGGCCCTGCGGGGGACCCAGGCAGGCGGAGGTGTGGAGGGTGTGGGGGTGGAGGGGTGATGGGCTGGGTGGGGAATTAGGGAAAAACAAGTACATCCTGATTTTGTTGGGGGCTGCGGGGCCGCTTTCCTGGCTCACCTGTTCACGCCCCTGGGCAGAGTTCACTGGGCAGTGTCTGCTGGCTCCTTGGATTCATTTGAGGGCCAGCAGGTGCTGTCTGGGGTGCTCTGCTCTGTGTCCCGCTTAGGTACGCTTGTTTTGAGTGCATGATTCTCACTCCCATCCCAGTTTTGATTTGTTGTCCTAAGCAATCTGTGATATGCCCCCTAGTGGCTTTGGCCTGTGTCACAGTATGGTACATCAAAAGCCACAACTTGGTTGAACCCTTCTTCTTGGCTCCATGCTTATGATGAGAAATAAGCAGCCCACCACGCTAGGTGGAGTGTTTAGTTCCAAGACTTTCTTTAGGAATGTCTCTTCTCTCCCCCTTGCAAGTCCCTAGCAGACAAATGAAAAATTTAACTTGTGTCTTTGGCAGTTGTCTCCATCCCATGCGCTCACTTGCCCCCTTTGCTTGTTGGTCTGGTTGACAAGTAGTGGTTTGTTGGTGCTCTGGGAATGAGAGAAGTAGATAAGCACTAATGGGAGAGTTAAGTGGACTGCTGGAGCGACCAGGTTTTTGAATGAAGGGATAATTTGGTCGAAAAGGAAATACTGTTTTGTTTTTTAAATGAGTTTGGTTAGCTATATTTAGGCAACTGAAGTACAGAATTTACAACGTCTTTAATTGTAAAGTCCCGTGTGTGTAGTATGGCAAAACTGTGGGCTTCTGTTGTCATAGATTTTGTTATTTTGATATTTGACCTATAGCTTTCTTATAGTCCTAGTTTTTGTTCTGTTAACCATCTTTAACCATGAATCTGTCAGTGTTTACAATTTTCTGGTATTATGTCTCTCCCAACTAGCTGTTTCTTAGCCAGGTTTGATGTATTGACTCTTTCCTGAGAAATCAAACTCTTCTATTCTGTTCTGCATTTTCTCTAGTTACCCTCTTTTTCAGTTTATCTAATTTCTGATGAAGGGAGATGTGATGCTGTAGCTGTACCAAATGTGACAACTACCTCCTTCCACAGTGCTTACATGTTGCCCTGTGTGTATATAGCTGTGGTTGACACTTTGCAAGCTCCTCTCTTTTGGTGTCAATGTCTTGGTCCTCTTCAGCTTGATTACTTTTCCTTTCTTTCTCAGTCTGAATATTTATGTTATTTTTCTTCATGAGATTGAGGTTTTTTTGTTTCAAAACCACATTCTCCTAGTGTTCTTTCTTTCCATGTTCTATGTCCTTTCTTGTTTTTACGGTGCTTTCTTGTTTAATTTAAGCCTGTGAATGCTGTTATTGGGTGTTTCCTTACTTTCCCTGTTGCTTATAAAGTTGAATAAAATATGACTGCATCCAACCATTGTGATATTTTCTATAGTTTAACACAGGGCTGTCCAATTTGTGACCCATGAACTCCCATTCTTGCATCCTATGCTTCTCATGTTTTCCCCTGCTGCTGCTGCCATCGAAACCACACCTCAGGGTTACTGGGGTCTCTGGGTTCTCTCCCTCTTCCAGTTTCTGTTTCTTGTTGCCCCCTTGGTGACAGGGGAGGCAATGGGAGGCAGTCACAGGGCAGTGCAGCTGGCCACTCAGAAATTTCATAGTTTCATAGACAGTCCTGATATAATGTATTGTTTGTTTAGCCTTTTAAGTTCCTTATGTGTACTGAAAACGCATCTAAGCCAGTTATTTCAGATTTTGTGATATACTGTATACATATGATAATATATATAATGTACTTTATGTATCTTCTCCATTTAAGCCCTGGTCTGGAAAGTACTTAAATATGTTTTTAGGGTGTGTGAGAGGTCTCATTAAAGCAGGTTAGTTCAAATGTTTGCCCTCAAGTAGCCTTACTTTGTACTTCTGTCAGAACAATTGAATCTGTATGGCTGTATTGATTGTTTATAAGCTAGTGTTCTTGGTTTTTTCAGTTTATTTTTTAGGGGAATTCAGTTTTTTTCTACAATATTTGTTGCAGAATTGAACATGCTAGGAACTGAAGTTAGACTGAACTGACGGTAATTTCCGGGGTCGTCGTCTTTTTTTTGAAGATCACTGGTACAGTTTCTTTTATCTGATCTTCTAATACTTCCCCAGTTCCACAGAACTTTTCAAAAATAGCAGCTTAGTATGTCCAGTAGTGTTTACACATCCACACCCACACCAGTTGGGCTTATTTTGTTTATGTTCACAGTTCTTCCAATGTTTTCTTCTGTGTTCATCTAGAGTAGATAGCTTTGCCACTCCCTAATAGTTTGAATTTCTCTCTTTTTCTTCTTTTATATAGAAAGGTTTGATTAAAAATCTCTGGAGCCAAGTTCATGCTTCTCCTGACTTTTTATTACTTGCTATTTTTCTAGTATAATTTCCCTTTATATTATATATTTGTAAAAGCCCTTTTTTTATCTGAAATCCTTAACTAAACTTGTACTTTTGTTTGGTTGCTTACATCCCCTTCTACTTCAGTTTGAAATTTTTTTTGAACTTCAGATTTCTGACCAGTCTTGTTGGTATTAGCTATCATAACAGTGCCCACAAGCCTCAGTTAGACTTATGGTGTTTTAAGCTCTACAGCTATGACATTCAACATTTCAGGTTCTGGGGGCCAGGTAAGTGGTGCGGGATCAATCTAGATGTAGATCTGGTCAGCTGACCTGATCCAACGTGTGGTTGGGGCCAGGTGTCATCTGGCATCCCCAACGTATCTGCAGGGTTTGGAAATTTGGCATTAGGAGAGAGGTAGCAGTGTTAATTGCCATCATTTCCTTGTCACCAAATTCCTTGGCCCCGTGGGCTGGATGACATGGCTCTATGGGCTGGATGCTCTAAATGGATATGAAGACAGTCCCTGCTCCAAAGAGCTTGCTATTTTAATTATGACAAGTTGCAAAAGAAGGGAAAAGGGACCATGTCAGAATTGAAACGAATATCCTTTTTTGTAGGAAACATAGTTATATGCGCTTAAACTTATGAGAAGAGGGCTTTCCTGAAAAGCTCTTGATAGTTGGAACTACATTCAACTATTCTGTTTTTTATTATGCAGTAAGGTAGTTAATTGCTTTGTAGGATGGAGGACAAACCAAGGCATAGTGTTATTAACTTGCCCACTTTAATTGTTAAAGTTAGGTATATCAGTTCTGTGGAGGCTCTGTGGTTATGGAGGACTTGAGAGTGCCAAACGTAGGTATCTATATGTAAAAAGGGAGAAAAGAAAACCTGGGGAATTCTGCTCTGGGGAGTCAATAGTTTTTGACTTGCAAAGGGATTGTACCAGTCTGTGGAGTTAGGGTAGTGGCACTGATTTTGTGGTTGGGTTATTTGGCAGTGTTTGGCAGTTGGGTAAGGGCATTGGTGGTGAGTGGATGAGAAACCTATTAGCAGCATTTGGTGGTGGGGAATTGGTAGCATTTGGTAGGATGCAATGGCCTGCCTTAAATCTCTGTTTATTCAGCTGACTTCTGCTCAAAGCGTGCTGACCCCTGTTCTAGATTAGTCACCCTAATATTGTTGTCTTGAAAAATATGAGAACAAACTGTTAAGGACCATAGAGGATAACAAAGTAAGAAGAAACAGCCAGCATGCATTTGCCAAAAACAAATCATGCCAAATCACTCTCATTTCCTTCTTTGATGAGGCAACCAATCATTGGTAGAAGTAGTAGATGTGGTATATCTTGAGGCCATATACAGACATTACATGTCTTTTGAGAGTGTTGTCGTTGTTATCCAAGCAGAAACCATGAGTGTACAGGTGTTTAGGATTTTTGGCCCAGATCAAAATGGCCACTCTAGGAGAAAAATAATTTGGGAACAACCAGGATTAAATTACTCCCAGGAAAGTTGTTCCTGGGAGGGTGAATGTCTGCATGTCTACACATTCTTTTCGGAGAGGCCAAAGTACAGCCTTGCAGCATCCCAGGGTGCTTTGCTGTCTCTCCCTCCAGAGACAATATGTTGCTTGCTGGATTCTGCTGCTCCAGCTGAGCAGGGAACAGAGCATGCCCCCTTCACAGTGCCCTACGTTATGATGCAGGGAGATGCAGGCAAATCTGGGTCAGCCAGACCAGGCTGCTTTGTGCACCTGTCACTAGGCAGACTGAAGGAGCTTGCAGAGCATGCTGATATGTGTGCACAAGGGCCCTCTGGGTGCTCAGCGTCAACACTTTAAGCTCTTTGCCTTTCAAGGGATCAACATTCGAATATCTGTTCAGGCATCTATGGGTAAGTGTTTCTACCAGGAGAACAAACCTGGGAGAATTCACCCAAGTTTTTTGAACATGTGTACACAGCTTTATTTTAGTAATGCTTTTGACATTCCCATACAGCATTCCCTTAAACTAGGGGAAGGTGGTCTGGATGAAATTACAATGAAGTGGATGGTAAACTGAAGTTAGAGCGGTTGTCAGTAGTACATTATCTAATTGGTATGACTTGTGAATAGGTTCTACAGGGGCCTACCCTGGGTTGCTACAATTTGCTACTTACTAACGACTTGTGTGGTAGAGTAGAGATTACTTTTACACAATTTGTGCATGACATTAAGCTGGAAGGGGTTGCAGGCAGATAAGATTAGAATTCAA